TCCCGTTACATAATTGTAAATTTTTTATAAGATTTGTTTGACAAATATCAATTTTTTTTCTTTTGTGAATGGCAAAATCTCTTGGTTTTAGTGACAGGTTCATGTGTTATGCTATTAGATGCTATAGCTACTGTCCTTCTAACGGCAAATGTACACTTGTCCGTCTTTTCGGTAATCGAAATGACCTCTTTGTCATTTTTTTGCTTCCGTTGGAGATTTCAAAGGACATCTTCCTGTGAGATTATCTTGAATTGTGCCAGTTGTTTTAAAACTCTTTTCAGACAGTTCTGTTAACAGTTTATGTGATGAAAAAAAATTGTCAAAGAATATTTCATGCTTGTCGGGACTTTCAACGCTGAATAAACAGTACTACTCTAGATCCAAGAGTCGAGTTTTCTATTTCAGGTTTTTTTTCTTCAATAAATTCTCATAGAGTAAGGATAGCCACTGCTGGAACAGTGCATCCATATTTTATATCCAAACCTAATCGTCTTGCTTTTGATAAACATTTTGAGTGAATGGTGCCGTAATATATATAATTCCGTATCGATTCATCTATACTCATTTTAGAAAGAAGGATGCCGAACTGCTGAAAATTTTTTTCAAGTTCTGCATAAGAAAAGGAGAAATTTTTCTTATTTTACCTCCAAATATCAACTTGTTATTATCGATAATATGAAAGAATTTTTTTTATATTTCTGAATCTACTTCTAAGCATTACAGTAGAAACAATCTGGACTGATATATCTTGTGTATACTCCAGTATAAGCCTTCGCCAGGTACTTGGAGATATCCAATAAAACAAGTATCACGCGGGGAAGTAACACTAAGAAAGTAACACGCAACATCTAACTATCAACAAACGCACATGCAGTTTGGCTGCCGCTGAGAAATTTACTTGAGATTGTCCAGAAACTTGTGAAAGGGGGGGGAGGTGAGGAGTTGAGAGAGGGAGCCGAAACGAAAGTCGGTAGTCATAAATATCTTCTTCCAACACATACGTACTTACAAGTTTCTAGCTTTCAGAAATCTTTTTCCGCTGTTCTATTCCGCTATTTTGTAAATGAAGTAACTGCATTGTGTTAAAAAGTATACCTTTACACGCCAATGTTCCATTTTTAGAACATAAAAATTTCTTACCCCATAGTAAAAAAATTACGATATTTTTTATTGTATCTTGCAGTCTATTGTTGAAATGATCATTTTTAATTACTTTTACCAAATAATGAAAGACAAGTTTTAAATTTTGAATTTTATATGAAATTTTGAATTTTGCCCGATCAAAAGTAAAAAAAAAAA